TACTGCAACTGTAAGTGCTGTTTGTGTTCCAGTCAGAAAATCAGTCACCCACTTTATCGAACATCTAACCAAACGTATGGCAGCAAAACGCCGACTGTGCATGAGATCCAGGTGAGAGACTGACAGACAGAAAGACAGACAGAGACATTATTTAATATACAGACACATATTGACCTTTGACCTCATCACTTATTACCAGTAAGTTGAACGCAGCCAGCAGTAAACATCTTTGTTTTGAATATTACAGAAGAAAATAAATCCCCTTTAAAACGGAAAGAGTTGATTTATTACAAATATTACAAAAAAAACAGTTTTCTGTTTCATTTAAACTATGAAATGTTGTTCAGTTACTATGGCAACAGAAACAAGACTTTTTCTTAATATGTAACATAGAAATATGTATTATTTGCTAATTGCTTTGGCAACAACATGTTTTTTGTTCATGCCAATACAGCTCCATGAATTCAAACAGGATGATGTAATGAGTCTTTGGTTGTTGTTTCAGACTGTGTTTAAAGCGAACTCCAGTCACTTCTCGGAGGCGATGCTGCGGAGCGGGATGTACCGTGATCACGGCTTCAACACGTCTGTGGAGAGGAGCAGAGTGATGGTTTCCACAGCAACCCAGCACAACAGAGTCAACCACCATTGTTTCTGTCACTATGGAAACCAAAGTACTGACCATAATGGAAACAAGTAACAAAACCGCCGACGTATGTAATCGATAATAAAAGAGTAAAGTAGAACCATTGATCGATGGATGAATTATATATTTAATGGTTTCATTCTCCCACAATGCATCTTTCCACCATCAGTGCATTTAATATCCATTCCTCACTACAACAGGCCAGTGACAGCAGTGACACTGAGGTTTAACCAGAAGGTGGCAACATTTCTCTTTCGTCAGCAGCAGCACTGACCTACTGTCGGTATTTATCTAAAAACAAATATTAACTTCAAGGGAAATAGAATCAAACTATGTCTAACATTAAAATGAAATAACAATAACACAAACACAAACTCAATGAACAAATCCTCAAAAACAAACAAATTAAATAAAAGGAGGAGATGTTCACTTATTAGATGTTCACTTATTTATTCCTCCCTCTTCACCATTGCTTATCAATTTAATTACTTTAATACATTTAGATCTACATATTTTTTATTTTACTTTATTTAACATTTATTTAACCAGTAAATCTTTGGAGCTTGAAATGTCTTTTCTGAGGGAGTCCTGGCCAAGACAGCACACAGTTACAATTTAAATAGAAATAAAATCACTTGACAGAGAAAATAAACACACAAGGAAATAACTAAATCCAGCTCAGCAGTAGCTTTTCTCAGTTA